AGCAGTCTGGTGAGCGGATGCATCCCTTTCTTACATTGTTTTGTTTACTGTCTGCATCACACACACAGAGCACCTGGTGGGCTGTCTGTTGTTTTTCCTGAGAACATTCTTTCTCACACTCAGGACTGTTGTTTTCAAGTATTTGAAATTGTTTTTAGTCGAATTAAAAACCCATAGCCTCAAAAGCCTTTGCCCCTGTTTCCATATGGCTCAGAAAAGTTCCCATAGCGATCTCCCACTGGCCCTGCTCATTTGCGATGGTGGTTGAAGTGCAGCATGCTGCCATGCAAAGTTCATTAAATCACTATTTTACCACTTAAGCTTAATCCCTATACCAATACAACAGTATACAATCCAGAAAGACAAGAGAGAGACAGACAGAAGAAGAGGGCTTAAAGACTTGACGGATCAGGTCTGACGTTTTGTTTTCCCACCGTTGCCAGGGAGTGCAAGGAATCTTTGCTTCTGTGCACTTCTCTCGAGGAAGAACGTGGGGATGCGGGACATGTCCTCCCATCCGCCCCATGAAACGCCTTGTCAATCTAGGAGGACTGTCCTTGATTGTGGCCATCTGCCAGTGAATTCAGCAGGGCATCGGCTTCATAGAGCGCATCCTATTGTCCTGTTCTTGTATTAAGTTTGCATTAAGGTTGAACTCGGGTGCAGGAACAAATCACAGATAAAGCTAGTCCTATGTTTTTGGAAGCACTGCCCCCTCTCTATCCAATTCACACACAGCAGCTCCTACTGTAGAGGACGTCTTCACCAGTGGGGAGTCAAAGAGGGTCTTATGGAATGCCTGTCCTCGGTTTAGTTTTGTTTTGTTTATACATTGACAATGTGTAATGGCGCCTTACTGTGGGGAGATGGGGAGGGTGGGATGTTGCGAGATGGTGTTAAGAAAAGAAAAAAAGCAGTGGTACGTGCCAAGTGCCAATTGTCTCCTTGTAATAGGCATCAAAAGACCAACTTCTGTGTGTTACCATACAGGTGAACTCACTCCTGGGAAAGTAGGGTTTTTCTCAGCCTCCGCAGAGAGCCAGCGTCGCTCTTTTCTCTCTCAGCAGTAACGGGATTAGTCGTGCCATTGCTCTCCCGGCTTTCACGCCACTGTCTACTTCCCATCTTCCACTAATGTGATTATCCCAGCCCCTGTGGTCCAAGCAGAAGGACGAGGGACTCCTCTTCAGTTGCACATTCACGGTGCCTCACAGAACCCCCCTCCAGTAACACCACCCAAATTCTCTAGTGGTGGTGGTGTTAATGATGGAGACCTGTTGGGCACAATTTAGATGCCATCTTAGTTAGAGGAAGACATGGTAGCAAAAGACAAATATTGCATTATGCTTCTATGCCTTGAAAATCACTATATCTCAACAACTCTTACGCAAACTGTGCAGTCCGAAGATTAGTAAATTACTAATGACCTCCTAATACCGACTACGTTATTTCACATCCACGTGCTTCATGTCAAGTTAAAATAAATTCAACATAATTGTTAGTGTGTGGAGTACAAGTACAGAGATATCAATATGTCTGAAGAGTTTTGGCCATACGTTTACATATAGGCCTACCTTGCAAAATTTGCAATTTGTTAAAATGTTTTACTAATTAAGGGATCATAAAAATGACTTGTTCTCTCCTGAATAAGCTGTTTCACATAGCCTACATTTAGTACACAAGACAAAATAACTGAATTCAATCATGGGAACCTTCTGAACAGTTTTTGCATTAATGGAAATGACAATGTTAATGTAGGCTATTTGGTCTTTGCGGACTTTTGTCTTCTGCTACGCTGCTGCTGCAGAGCAATGGACTTGCTACTGCTAATATATACACATACACGCTGATGTGAGCATGTAAGATATGCTGCTGCTGCTGGATGAATAGGCATAAATCCCAGGTGGAGCTGGGGGAGGTGGAGGGTTTCTGAGGACAGGACATCTGCTGGACCAGCTTATGGCGAACACTGAACCTGACTATTTAAATGTTGAGCAAGCAAGCTCATTGGCTGCAGAATCAGCAGAGGCCAAACAGTTTGGGGCTGTGTTGTAAGTTATGTGATTGCTATCAGATTGCAAGTAAAGGACCTATCCGCCTGTGCCTTCTAGAGTTCATCTGTGCCGTCTAGAGTTTCATGACTGAACTAGATATTCACACAAATTTTACAGAGAAAGACAGGACCAACTCAGTGCATTGTACATTTGTACAGAGTCATTTGAACAATGGCACAGACTTGCTTTGATGTTAGGCGGTGATACCTGAGGAATGGAGGCTTCATCCTTTTTGGATATTCAGGAGTATTTTGGACATTCAGAAGAGTGAGCGCTGATATGTTTGTCTCTGTAGAGACCACTCACATGCAGTCCCCTATGGCACTCCCTTATGCAAGCCCTTTTAGGGGAGAATGCTCTAGAAAATTGGGTTTCCCAATCCTGTTCCTGGAGATCTACCTACCTGCAAAGTTCAGCTTCAACCCTGATCCAACACACCTGTCTGTAATTATCAAGTGCTCCTGAAGATCTCAATTAGCTGCTTCAGTTGTGTTTGATCAGAGTTGGAACTGAACTTTGCAGGAAGGTAAATCTCCAGGAACCGGATTGAGCAGCCCTGCTCTAGAACATAAGTGGTCGACAACGCAAAAATATGCATTCCCTCCCGTGTGCCTTCTCCATCTTGACATCTGCGAGATTCTAAAGAGCAGGGAGTCTGTCTGACTAGTGGCTCCGAAGTGGCCCTACTGGCCCTAATTGCAGCGATACTAAATTAAACTAAACAAAATAGTATAATACAATTAGAGAAAACACAACATAACAGTGTGTTATGACATAACTATGCACATCCAACACAAAGAACAAACTATACTGAGGGCAGGGATGTAGTGGAGGCTAAACTCACGTAAACGCCGTTTACGCACCTCCCAATATTCGGAAATAGCGTTTACCCACCTCCAAAGTGCGTTTATCCACCTCTAAATTGCGTTTATCCACCTCTAAATAGCTATAAATTAAGCTTATGTCGTTTTAGTTTCATATTGTTAATTATTAGTTTCATAGGTTGTTAAACCTAAGACGAACTCTTTCATATTGCGCTGCATTACTGTCAGTGTTGTTGACTATTACTGACGGTGAGGTTGCGCTGTTGACGCTCGCGCAGCCTCTCGAGGAGAAATCTACACAAATGAGCGCACACACACACTCAGTTAACAACATACTGCCTATAAAAAATCTAAATGTGGAGTTTTTATATTTATATTTTTTACACGAAACCACCTACTGGCGGTTTCGTGTAATGTTTAAAAGTAGATCATTCTTTCCAACGTTTCTTATTTGTAAATTTAAATCAATTTCATAACATTATTTTATGCAATTGTAATTTTTCAGTGTAAATGATTTAATTTGATCAGCCCTATAGTGTCTTATTATTCGAAATAATTGAATTTATTGATCAAATTTAGGAATTTAAAATGAAAGATGAAGCATACATTTAATAATATTGGGGGAGGGGATGCCCTTTAAAGGTGCAAATATTACAATATGCCGATTTAAATATCAAAGCTAATTGAATACTGATGAGAATATTGTTTCAGAATAAATTAACACACACACACACAAAAAAAAAAATCCGGACAAGAAACTTTTTTACTCGGACAAGTGAATGACAGATTTACTTGTCCGAAGGACAAGCGTATGAAAAGGCTTAATGTCGAGCCCTGCCTATAGCAATGTCATCAGGATACACATACACCGGTCCGGTAGGCAGTGGCCCACTTTACCGGGTGACCACGTCGTGGTCCACCAGAATTTATAGTTTACCCACCTCTTTTTTTACCACTACACCTCTGACTGAGGGCAATATATACACAGAGGTCTGATTATCTAAACAAGGAACAGGTGGATGAAATCAATGAAACAATGAATTACCAAGACAACCAATGAACACAAGCCAGAAACAATGACAATTGTATGACAATTTTACTTTACTGTACTGAAAGGCTTAATTGGTAACCCAATGTCTTCTAATTTATTACTTTATTGGTTAAACTAATCAAGTTAATCTAATCAAGAACATATATGTGTGTGTGGGCCGGCCGGGCTGGGTACTGTGTACAAATATGACATACAAAAATACATAGGCTATAAGTCCATATGTACGATGAATCATTAAAAGATCACGATCTCAATTCAAATGCACACGCAAACTTATTCCTAAATTACAATGATTCCACTATGTCTAAACATTTGAAATTATGATCACACTGGAATATAACCTGCTTTCGCGCTGCCGCTGACCCAGAAAGTGCAGCGGTCATGTAAGCTATATGTTTGTAACAGCTTCACAAACAGTTTTCAACTAAACTATCTATTTCTATGTTGCAAACATCAAATAATAACGAATGTAATGGAATAAAAGTTTATAGTCCAAATGTAAACACTGATGTTGCGGCAGCGATCAAATGAGTAAATAGAATCAAATTTCTATTGCATGGTTATGGCAGAAGATGGCGACCAGTGACTAAAATGTTAAATGTTTAAAATATTTTTTATCTATATCATTGAATCATTCATTCAAGAGATTCCTATAAAAACTGGATGAAACAAGTCTTCATTCAGTAATATCAAACGATTTTTTACATAATACATTTATTTAAATTAATACATATTTTTATTGGATTAATTTAAAACATTTTTGACATTTATAAATAGACTTGTACAACAAAAACAGACTAGGATGAAGTTATGTACATTAACAATGATTTGGGGCAATTATAATGCATTAAAATGCAGGAATCTGTCATTTTTTCTTATTTTAAAGATGTGGTGCTTCTCGTCCAGTGTGCAAAGTTCTCCAACCCACTTTAGGTATGCCCCTCTAGCACTAACCCCCTTCCTTTGGCACTTCCCGCGGTCCATAATAGCAACCATTCGTGTTTTATGCATTTGTCTTTGCTTTTTGGCCTCACTGGCGTTCCATACTGGATGGTTCGTGGTAGTGTTGACGTTCGTTGTGACGTCAGAAGTTTCGTTGACGATCAAAATGAAGGCGCACACGTGGTAACTCAAAGCCGAAAAATGACAAAGCGTGAAAATAATGTTCCATCCAGCGCAACATTTATTTGTTCCTTTCCTGACTGTCAAGCGTCATATAACAAAGGATGGAAGCTAGAAGCGCACCTCTGCAAACATACAGGGGAGGTAAGTAATGCGCAGGGCCAACATGCGAGGGAAGATTGTGTGAATAAACCCATATAAATAAAACGGAAACGTCCTCAGGTAACGGTGTTTGCGCATGTAAGGCGCGTTCTGAAAGCGGTTTTCAATTGAATGAGTGTTTATCAATTATTTAAACTGTATGGCATTTGTCGTGCTCAACACGACTCTATGCAGTTTAATGTTAAAGTGTACATTTTCTTTCGCAGAGGCCATTTAAGTGCGAATATAACGACTGCAGCAAATCTTTCTGCACGAAATATCACCTTGCTCGTCACACGCTGACACATACCGGAGACAGACCTTACATGTAAGTGACTTTTCTTTAGATTAAGTTTAATAGGATGGCAGGCTGTCATTTACTCGTGCCATGTCTGTTAACAGATGCTCGGAGGACGGATGCAAAGAAGGATTCACCACAAACACCAACCTGAAGAAACATATTTCACGTATTCACAGACAAGAGACAAAACAGTACATAGTAAGTCAAAGTAAACCTATGTAAGATGTCTACAGAAAAAAGAAATTTAGTTTTGAATTTATGTTGTTGGCTTGAAGTAACACATTTTAAATGTAACTCGATGATGGCTATATTAAGTTATATTTAAACACTTTTGCTGGAAAACAGTGGCATACAATGCAAAACAATGCACACATCTATGATATACTGTGGTGTAAAGTAGCAAGTGTCAGTTCTGGCCCCAGTCTCTCAGTTGTATTGAGCACTGAAACATTAATATTATATTGTGTATAAATCATTCAGTACCATTATTTTATGATATTACCTTCACTGTAGTGTATCATAATACCACTAATGTTAAAGGGTTACTTCACCCAAAAATGAAAATTCTGTCATTAATTACTCACCCTCGTGTCATTCCAAATCTGTATGACTTGCGTTCATCTTCGGAACACAAATGAAGATCATTTTGATGAAATCTGAGAGATTTCTGTCACTCCATTGACAGCTACACAACTAACTCTTCAAAAAGCTCATAAAGAGATCGTAAAACGAATCCATATGAATTGAGAGGTTCAGTCCAAATTTTCTGAAGACTCGATCGCTTTATGATGAACAGATTTAATTTAGGCTTTTATTTACAGAAAAACATTGATCAGCGAACATAAGCAGAAGCTCAACCGAACCTGCTTGATGCGAGAGAACAAACCTCATTGGTTCTCACTGGTCAAGCAAACATCTTTAAGCTTCCGTTTACCACAACTGATGTGTGAGTTGATGAAAGTTTCTGTGAATAAAAGCCTCATTTTAAATCTGTTCATCATATAAAGATCAAGTCTCTTCAGAAAATTTTGACTAAACCGCTTAATTCGTTTTACGATCTCTTTATGAACTTTTTGAAGCGTTCCGGAGATGAACGAAATGTTCATATTTGGGTGAACTAACCCTTTCTGCTGTGGGTATATGTTATATATGTGCATTTGTGTTGTCTAAATGTTTATAAAAATGTTTTTTTTAGTGCACATTTGAAGGATGTGGCAAAGCATTCAAGAAGAATAACCAGCTGAAAACCCATGAGTGTACACACACCCAGCTGCTACCGTTCTTGTAAGACTTTTTCCACTTTTTTGTCAGTAATTGAAGTCTTTCTCAGTAAAGCAACATAATACAAGATTTGATTTAGAAACTGAGACGTGTCTGACTCCCTTCAGTTGATGTTGTGTTATACCCTGCATTGCTCTGATCATCAGATGCTCATATGATGGCTGCGGGAGACGTTTCTCACAGCGTGGTAAACTGAAGCGCCATGAGAAGGTACACAATGGTATGTTCTCTGCTTGTTCTGTTGTTCATAAAGGAATAGTTCAGTGGTTAATTTCAAATGTTGATGTTGAATGCGAGGTGAATTTTTGAAGAATACCCTGGCCTCTCCAGAAAAAAACCCATAACATGGTCCACAAATCATGTGATAGGTTATCCACTTTATTTTAAAGTAAAGTAAAGCAAGCTGTATTTAACTTTAATGTTTGAGGCTTCCAGTGTCATTCACTTCCACTTATTTTAGTTCTACAAAGACGGTTAATTTTGCCGCTTGATATTGCAAACTGGACTGGTATTTATCATATTATTTGAATTTATTATAGTAATCAAACACACTGGTTTCGTGGTTTGTATCACATAATATTTACTGGACTTCGTTAATTGTTCTTTTAGTTATTTATCTATTGTGGCTAAAGAATCAGATTCAGAGGAAATAGCTTATTTCTGCATTGCAAAAAAAAGTGTACAGTCTCCTGATCCCCAATAGACAGTAGCTTTATGAGATGAACCGGTCGAAACTCAGGTTTGATGCTGTTGTGACAAGTAAAAATCGTAGCATATTTGAATCAAAACAAAGTAAAGGTGTTTTTTGTGGCTCTTTAAGTCACTGGATGTGCATCACCCTACCTTTCATGTGTTATATCCCGATCCAGGCTATTCCTGCACGGCTGCGGGCTGCTCGTTTGTGGGAAAGAACTGGACAGAGATGACAAACCACAACAAAGTTCATATAGGTAAGCCTAATAGCCTAACAATAGCATGCAACCTCATAGAAAGTTACAAAATATATAACTTGGTGTGTGTGTATTCAGTCCGGGTACAGTGTGATCAGTGTAAGAAAACATTCAGGGATAGCTGGTTCCTGAAGCAGCATCAGCATGTTCACTCTAAAGAGCGCCTGGTCTTCCACTGCCCCAGAGACGGATGTTCCCGCTCATACACCACTGCGTTCAACCTGCAGAGCCACATACTGTCCTTCCATGAAGAGCAGCGCTTCTTCAACTGCACTCACCCTGGCTGTGGCAAGTCCTTTTCCATGAAGGTAACGTTACGGTGCTTTCCTATCGTCTGCCTCACTAACCAAAATCCAAGGAGTTGTTTCGCTGATTGAAATGCTAAGAACTTGTGAATTAACTTCGTAACTCCAGCGGATCCTCAAACTGTCAGCAAAACCTCATACAGTAGTTCACACTTTTTTTTGGACTATACTTTATATGAAAACGTAATGCGATGCACTTGCTGCCTTGGATGGTGCAGTTCTAATGATGGACAAAACACAAATCTCCGACATTTGCTGGTAAAAAAACTCAATTTTAGCTTGATTTTGGTACAAAGGTAATAGTATAGTGACACATGCAAGTGTCTGACCATACGTAAAGCCACAATACTTTGACAACGTTTAAAAAATACAGTTTTTTTTTTTTTGCTTTTAATTTCCTGAATAGTAGTGGTTCTACACTAATTTCCGCTGGTTTCAAAACGTACACCACGCTCGATATTACTTGCCATTCATTTTTAAAAACTCCTGAGATCCAAAGCTAATTGACTCAGAACAAAAAAATAACGTTAAGATTACATTAATATTAAGCACTGTTTTTCAGTAATGCTCAAAGAGTGTTAAATATATTCAGGTTTCATACAAAATGGAGTGTATGAAACGGAACCTAAAAGTGTTTCACCGTATCGATATATTTTATGGTCCCATGAACTTCACATTGTATATCGAGCTGTTGGCCGGACTCCTCGTATTTCCAAAACCGCTAATTTTCTGGAAATGGAAAAAAACGGTATTTTTTAAATTAAACACTGTGTTGTCAAAGTTAATATTGTGGCTTTATATATGGTCAGACACGTGCATGTGTCATTACAAGGTTTTTGACCAGCGAATATCCAACATGTTTTTTCCCCCATCATTGGAATGGCCACATCTGAGGCAGTAAGTGCATCACATTACTTTCTCCTCATCTTGCAGGTTATACATTTTATTGTAGCTATGTGTGGGCGCTCAGTTTTTCTGTAATTTGGTCAAAATCTCATGTTATAAAAGATGAAGAGCTATTTAAGACAGTTATGGCTTTAACTCTGTGACAAAGGCTCCTCACATACATAAACCATTAGCATTTATACGTTTAGCCCTGGTTTTACAGACCAGGCTTAAGTCTAGTCTCAGACTAAAATGCACGTTTGAGCCGTTTTAACTGAAAGTAATTTGCACACTGATATATCTTAAAATATGTCAGTTTTATTATTTTGTCTCAAGTGTCTAAGGCACGTTTATAAAAGGTGCTTAAATGTCCTAATTGAACTAAGGCCTAATCTAAGGTCTGTCAGTGAAACCGGGCCATGGGGTGGTTTCCCGGACAGTTAAAGCCTAGTCCTAGACTAAAATGGCCTTGGTATAGTCCAGAGTCTAATAAGATGATTTCCTGGAGGAAGACTAGAGCTACTCAAGAACTAAATTTAGACTTAAACTAAACCTACCGGGAGGCAGTGTTTCTTGAGTAAAGAAAAGGCTGTACTTATTCAAACAACCTGTTTTTTTGTCCTTGCATTGCAATCAAGCAGAGATGACGATCAAAACTGTGTGTGGCACTTCATTCACGATAGAGGCGGGTGGAGTTATGAGGTTTGACTGACAGTTTGAGGATCCAATGGAGTTAAAAGGTTTAGTCACTAGCTCTTTTTAATGCTTTTCATTGGTTAAATATTTGCAAAACCCACAGACAGACATAAAGGGTGACCAAAATTATTTATGAACAAAGTCCATTCGCCTCTATTCAATATTAAAGTTGAATGAGCCAAGTCATTTCAGGGCAGCCTTTCTCAGCCATGTCTGGCTTGACTGCATGTTATGAAGTGCATTAAAGACTGTTGCTAATTTTTCACAGTATCCTGCACCTGCTCCATTTCATTGTCTTCTCATATTTCTTAATACTTCCTAATTGAATCATATTAAATAGTTAAATTAGTAAGCTGACCAATTTCAGTTGTCTTATTTGTGGACATCTGGGATGTAAAATATTCAGGATTTGTGATTAAATCAGTGTACCTTAAGAACTTTCTTAAAATATGCCTAATTTTATTTTTTATTGCCACAGCAAAGTTTACAGCGCCATGGTGTGGTTCATGATCCTGAAAAGAAACAGGTAACTACTTATTGACATTTTTGTTTTTGTTATGACTTGGTCATTATGTTGTAACTGAGTGGTTGATATTTAGGGAAACACAATGTGTTGATAATAACGGCCCTCTTTGTCTCTTTCAGCTCAAGCCTCGTCCAAAACGTTCCCTGGCATCTCGTTTGAGTGGTCACAAACCAAAAAAGAAACGTCAAGCAAAAACTTCAAATTCAGATGAATCTTCAATGCCACAGATTAGCCAGTCCGAGTCAACCACAAATCCTCAATTAATAGGTCAGCTGCAATCATTCAGCTCTCAAGGTTTTACAATCCTAAAAGCAGACATCCCAGAAACCTGCACCCAGAGTTTAAAAAGTTCTGATTTAGAGACCATTAAACCTGAGAGTGTTGTCAGCCAATCAAAAAACATTTATTCTGAGTTCAACAACACTGCAAATCCAGTGGTCAACCTTTTAGAGCCCCTCTTACTGTAGAGTCAATTTCCAGTGAACCCAATAGTTTCCATTTCACCCCACAGGACAATTTCTAAAGCAAAATTTTTTTGGAGGCTTGCTCCAATGTAAATATACTTTTGCATTGAAAGTTGCATAGATTTTTACTGTTGCTTTAAGTCTTTTGGCTCCTCTGTAGTGGAGGTACCAGGAGATGTTGGGGTCTCAAAGTCAGGTTTTAAATTCTTGTTCGAAGTCTCTGCTTCCTTTTTCTGCAGTTCTTTAGCAGAGGCAAGCCGAAGGACGCACATGGCAGCACGACCTCCACGAACCACAGAGGGTTTTGATACAAAGCCAATGGGCACTGATATCTTCTCCAACATCTGAGTTAAGACTTTATCCTGTTTAGAAAAAACAAAACAACAACTGAAGAAAATCCTGAAATCTAGGTACCAGTGAATTGTACCTGTCTTCATTTTCAAAGCATTTTAGTGTTATGGTAAAAGCAAATGTAACTTTTGTTGCTTGTTAATTTAAATGTATACAATGAATTCATGTATAAATAAACTAATTATGTGTAAACTTGGATCACTGTTTCAAATCCCAATATTTCCAGTATTTAAGCTCTGGCTGTGTCCTACTTTTCAAGGAATGTTCCAGGGTCAATACAAGCTCTATTGACGACATCTGTGATTTTAAAAGCAAGCAAAAACGATGCAATTACAATGGAATTCTATGGTGCAAGATAACATAGTGGAAAAAACATTAAAATACAGACATTTCTAGCCACTAGTCTTGACAACATTTTATAATCTAAAACTAAAATTGATGCAATACTGTTTATATCGATATAGCGGAGGAGACAGTGAGCTGGTGCACAGAAAGTGCATAATGCAATTTGTCCTAAACATGTGACATGCTTTATATTGAGGGGCTTTAAAATAACTTGTAAGATATAGTTAACATGTAGTTTAGCGCAGCTTGCCCCATCAGATGCTCTAAACAGATACTTGTGCGTTTCCTGCGTTTGAGATGTGGTGTCATAACTCAGTTCATAACTCAGATATTCTCCATCTGTAAATGTAAGAGTTTTCCATTTTGCTGTCAGGAGTGGATGAGTCTCCGCTAAACTAAACAAACTTGAGCGTTGTTTGGTGCATGCACGCCAAACAAACCGAGCACCGTAAATCTGACAAATATAGATTTTGCTAAAATATTTGTTGTTGGACATTATGGCCTGGTTTCACAGACAGGGCTTAGTCTAGGCCAGGATTAGTCCTTAGTTTAATTAGGGCATTTAAGTAGCTTTTATAAACGTGCCTTAGAAAAGAAAATATTACTGATGTGCATCTTGACTGTGAGACACAATGGCACTGACATATTTAAAGATATATCAGTGCAAGTTGCTTTCAGTTAAAACAGCTCAATATGCATTTTAGTCTGGAATTAGGTTTAAGCCTGGTCTGTGAAACCAGGGGTAAATGTGCCATACGTAGTACAGGTCCTTCTCAAAAAATTAGCATATTGTGATAGTTCATTATTTTCCATAATGTAATGATAAAAATGAAACTTTCATATATTTTAGATTCATTGCACACCAACTGAAATATTTCAGGTCTTTTATTGTTTTAATACTGATGATTTTGGCATACAGCTCATGAAAACCCAAAATTCCTGTCTCAAAAAATTAGCATATCATGAAAAGGGTCTCTAATAACCTAATCATCTGAATCAACTAATTAACTCTAAACACCTGCAAAAGATTCCTGAGGCTTTTAAAAACTCCCAGCCTGTTTCATTACTCAAAACCGCAATCATGGGTAAGACTGCCGACCTGACTGCTGTCCAGAAGGCCATCATTGACACCCTCAAGCAAGAGGGTAAGACAGAAAGAAATTTCTGAACAAATAGGCTGTTCCCAGAGTGCTGTATCAAGGCACCTCAGTGGGAAGTCTGTGGGAAGGAAAAAGTGTGGCAAAAAAACGCTGCACAACGAGAAGAGGTGACCGGACCCTGAGGGAGATTGTGGAGAAGGACCGATTCCAGACCTTGGGGGACCTGCGGAAGCAGTGGACTGAGTCTGGAGTAGAAACATCCAGAGCCACCATGCACAGGCGTGTGCAGGACATGGGCTACAGGTGCCGCATTACCCAGGTCAAGCCACTTTTGAACCAGAAACAGCGGCAGAAGCGCCTGACCTGGGCTATAGAGAAGCAGCACTGGACTGTTGCTCAGTTTTGCATGTCATTCGGAAATCAAGGTGCCAGAGTCTGGAGGAAGACTGGGGAGAAGGAAATGCCAAAATGCCTGAAGTCCAGTGTCAAGTCAGTGATGGTCTGGGGTGCCATGTCAGCTGCTGGTGTTGGTGCACTGTGTTTTATCAAGGGCAGGGTCAATGCAGCTAGCTATCAGGAGATTTTGGAGCACTTCATGCTTCCATCTGCTGAAAAGCTTTATGGAGATGAAGATTTAATTTTTCAGCACGACCTGGCACCTGCTCACAGTGCCAAAACCACTGGTAAATGGTTTACTGACCATGGTATTACTGTGCTCAATTGGCCTGCCAGCTCTCCTGACCTGAACCCCATAGAGAATCTGTGGGATATTGTGAAGAGAAAGTTGAGAGACGCAAGACCCAACACTCTGGATGAGCTTAAGGCCGCTATCGAAGCATCCTGGGCCTCCATAACACCTCCGCAGTGCCACAGGCTGATTGCCTCCATGCCACGCCGCATTGAAGGAGTCATTTCTGCAAAAGGATTCCCGACCAAGTATTGAGTGCATAACTGAACATAATTATTTGAAGGTTGACTTTTTTTGTATTAAAAACACTTCTTTTATTGGTCGGATGAAATATGCTAATTTTTTGAGATTTTGGGTTTTCATGAGCTGTATGCCAAAATCATCAGTATTAAAACAATAAAAGACCTGAAATATTTCAGTTGGTGTGCAATGAATCTAAAATATATGAAAGTTTAATTTTTATCATTACATTATGGAAAATAATGAACTTTATCACAATATGCTAATTTTTTGAGAAGGACCTGTATTTAAAACATTCAAGGAAATATATAAAAACAGTACATGTAAAATGACTACTGTTTTGGGGTAATCAAATGTAGGCTAATAGACGGTTTAACATTTTGTCTGTTTTAATTTATTTTTAATTTAGTGATTGTAACTTCTGCTTTACTTATGTTTTAGGGTACGTTTACACGACAACGACGTGTTTCCTTTGCGTTTTTCACGTACAGACGACAATGCTGTCAAACTGATCCCGTTCACACGCTTTCTGCTGCCAGGCCAGTGGTTGGCGATGTCACTTTGTAAAGAAACATTTTCAAAAGTTTGCGTTTTCAGGCCCCCAAAACGCCATCGTAGTTTTACGTTTTCAGTTGAAAACGGTCTCATGTAAACGGCCCCTTAGATTGTAATGTGATTTTAACACATAATATATAGCATAGATAGACTACATGGTTACATTTATTATATTTTCAAAGCCTTCAATATGAACATTGTTTGTAGGAAATTGGGAAGGATCTGAAATAAATGTTTTATATATATATATAAAGAGAGAAATTGTTTTTTGAACCAAATAGACTAAAACAAAAAAATAGATATGATTTTTTTGGCCATATCGCCCAGCCCCTACAACATGCTAGTATAACTAAATGATTAACTATACTAATTAACTAGTGTATTGCTTTACATCAGTCAGAGTGGAAGTCTCACAGCTCATCTACACCACACATTTTTGTATAGAAGAATTAATATAAGCAATATTAATGTATGAGCTTCTTATTTTGGCTAATAAAACACAGCAGGTATAAAGACATTTTCCAGGACCTTCACCCTCTCTGTTATTCTGTAGTGGAACAAGCTGCCAAAACCTAGCATGTTGTTGTTGGCTCTTATAAATTGTTCACGCTGTTCCTCATTTGTTAGTCACTTTGGATAAAAGTGTCTGCTAAATGTAAATATGATAAACAGTCTGGTAAACTTATCCCATAGACATCCATCATACGCATATTACTGTTATTACTATATTTACAACCTCAGGTAAAATAATCATAAAACTTGTTCTGAACCTGGAACATTTCTTTAACACAAAACTGACAACATTATTCACTTTAAACAACACCAGCACAGAAATGAAATGTGCAGCCATTCAACCAACACACTGATTTACCAATCAAACACAAGTTAAAGGAAATAGATCATTTGTTTCCATACCGGAAGTGGTGCGCCACTGGCAGTTCTTGCTTTGATAGTGAGTCTGACGTGGTTCTTCTTTTCCAGCCAGCTGACAACCTGCCGCAGTTTAGTATCTAAATCATGAAGGGAAATATCTGAGGAGAAACTGAGCTCCTTTGACTGGACGGGCCCTGCAGGTAGACCAAAACAGTGTAAGGTTAGGTTTAACACGAAATGCAATCACTAGTACGAAGGAGTATAATATAGCAGCATTGATATGTGCATGAAACGCACCTTTCTTGGCTTTCTGTGCATCTCTAAGTTTCATCTGCTCTTCGTGGATCTGTTTCCCTTTCATCAGTCTGTATAATGGAGGATCACAATTGTCATTTATGGCAACAAGCTTCAGCCCTGTTTGGTCCATCAGTCGTATCACATCGGCACGGTGCATTGTACCCAATTCCTCACCATCCTCACCCAGTAACTGTATATGGCGCAGGCCAATCTTCCTACCCACGCTGCCAAAAGTGACTCGTGCTTTCGGGTCCAGCTTTTTAGTCTCCTTCTGGATATCTGTTATGTCTGTGCCCCCACTCTCAGTGTCTGTGGAGAAGGACATACTTAGCCAGGATGGGGCAATATGGCAACACCATGCTGGCCTGAGGGTTGATGGTTTGGTTGCCAGTGGAAAGCTGACCATGCTGATGGGTCGACGAAGACTGCGGCTCAGTGCCTGACTCAAAACAAACCTCAGGAAACCCAGAGACATCCTAGAAGACAGTGTCATGGATGTTACACAGACGTGTCTGAGTCCTTAATGATGTTTTGACGTACAGCTAAAATAACAATACTTAGCATACCCATGATTATAATGTTAACCATTCATTTATTAACCATTTCATTCATATCCGACTCTTGGTGATTCTATGGACGAGAGACTGTCTGTGAATTTTTTGGTGATGATTTTTCAGGAGTAGGTCTTCATGTTTTTCCCCAACCCTCCCCATTATATGGCTTGGGACAGAGTCAGACACACACAAACTTGTTTTTATCTTTACGTGGACTCTCCATAGACGTAATGGTTTTTATATATTGTACAAACTGTAACTTATATTCTATCCCCCTTCGCTAACCCTACCATCACAGAAAACTTTCTGCATTTTAAAAAAACAATCACTTTAATAATAATTTATAAGCTGTTTTTCCAAATGACCCCACAATGTCAAAATTTGCACATTTGCCTATCTTTGAGGGGACATTTGGACCTCTCAGTGTAGGTTAAACAAGAACACACATTCACACCAACGAACAATTTAGCAATAATGTCAATATATACCATAAGAGCAAATAAGATGTGAACAAAATTGGTGCAACGAGACAAACACTTATTCATTATACACGATATATAAAACATACAACATTTACTCAAAACGGACAAAAAAGAAGCAGAGGTTGTTCCTCCGTTTTTAAGGTTTTTGACAGCTTTCTTCAGAACTTCGACAAACACCAAACTGACGAAAGCTAACGTTACTTACTCTAGAGTGACACGGAACCGACGTCGAGGACGAAGTAAGTGGATCAGTAGGCTATCTGTCAGGTAAAGATTTCAAGACAGACATCTGTGTCATAAACACAACATAAATAATGTTACAACTAGAAAGCCAGGTGACTTTCCTAACTGATAAATGAATCTTATTCTTGGCGCACACATGTGACGTCACGCAAACGCGCCGCTGCTGCTTTTTTTTATTATTGAACAAAAATCACAGGGGATCATACTACACACACACACACACACACACTTAAGAAAACAGCATAAGAAACAGCAAGGTAGAGCAAGATACAGTAAACAGAGATAGTCTACTAAAAAAGCAATTCACAAAGCATCAGAATTTAATTAATACAAATAAATATAAAAAAATAACATGTAAACAAAAAGGTCAGGCAGAGAGTCCAGCATTGCTTAATAGAAAAATGTGCTTTCTCAGTTCCTTTTGAAGATATAAAATATGCCATGAAGAAAGATGAAACTCCATTTATTTCCAGATTAAGAATGAAAAGTTGTTTCATTTGTTTAAAGGGTCATTCCTGGCATTTGGTCCCTTTTGGCCATTTCTGTGTGATCATGATAGGGTGATGTAAAACATTTGAAAACATATTCTGGTCAAGCTTGGGTAAATAAATTTAACCATTTATTAAAGAAAATAAATAAAAGTGGAAGATTTTTTTCACCCTGTTAGGGACAGTTATAAATGCCTAAAAGACAGTTTTGTTTACATTTACATTTACATTTAGTCATTTAGCAGACGCTTTTATCCAAAGCGACTTACATCTGAGGACTAACCAAACGAATCATCGTGAAGAGACAATAACAACCCAAGAAGTGCTCAAAATACAAAGTTCAAACATTGCTCAGAGTAGCATAAACCAGACAAGTGAGGATTTAAGTTTTTATTAGGGCCCAAGCCTTGAAAAGGCGAAGGCCCTATTGTTTTCCTTAGGATTATTATTATTATTATTATTATTATTATTCTTATTAGGGCCCAAGCCTTGAAAAGGCGAAGGCCCTATTGTTTTCCTTAGGATTATTTTTTTTTTTTTTTTTTAGGGCCCAAGCCTTGAAAAGGCGAAGGCCCTATTGTTTTCCTTAGGATTATTATTATTATTATTATTATTATTTTATCGACTATTCGGGTACTTTTGGGGCTCTTAACGTGCACGAAAACTCTTGAAACTTTGCACACTGGTCAGAACCCGCGGCCATCAGGGCCGGGCTGAAGCTGGTACCCGGGCGTGGCAGGGGGGCTCGACAGCGCCCCCTGGAACGGGGTCCGAAAACTTGGTCCATAAATCAAACACGCTTCCATGTAATAATATGAAACTCGGTACACATATAGATCTCATCGGTTCATATATCCTTTGTACTTTTACTTTTTACCCCAGCCCAACAGGAAGTCGGCTATTATGGTTTGTTTGGAAGCGTATGCCCCTGGAATTCGATATACTCCTCCTAGAGAATTCAACCAATCGCAAGGAAACTCGGTCAGCATGATGTCAAGACATTGAGGATGAAAAATTGCCAGGGGATTTTTCATATCTCGAACGGTTTGGCCGTGGCGAGGAAACGAATTTATGGCGAATAATGGAAACAGGAAGTGTGTTATAACTTCTGCATACATTAACTGATCTTGATGAAACTTCAACAGTATGTTCGCTGTAAGAGGCCGATCACATGGATGTGACTATTGTGAGTCAAAGTTATAGCGCCACCAACTGGCAGCAGGAAGTGTGTCACTTTCTAAATGCTTTTGACAAAAGTGGGGGGGTTAGTTTTATCTACAGTTACAAAACCCAGCGTGTATATTCTTCTCCTCAAGCCAAACAACTTTCTAATTTAAAGTAATTAGCTCCGACCCTCAGAAAGTCAGATATTGTGGTTTGAATAGGGTCATTTTCTCTCTCTCTCTCTCTGAGCCAATATGGCAAGCCGCTTTAACATTTAATCATTTTAACCTACTAGTCTCTATTTTCATGCTACTAGTACTTATTTTTAGATACTAGTATCTATTCCATTAAGTACTGGTACTTATTCATTAGCGACTAGTGCTTATTCTTTAGTACTAGTGCCTATTCTTTAGATACTAGTGCTTATTCTTTAGATATTCTTTTGAATACGTATTAGTAGCTAATGAATAAGTACTGGTATCTATTTAATAGGTACTAGTATCTAATGACTTAGTACTAGTATTTATTGAATAAATACTAGTATCTATTAATAGGTACTAGTATCTAAAAGGTCATTTTCTCTTTCTCTCTCTCTGAGCCAATATGGCAAGCCGTTTTAACATTTAATCATTTTAACCTACTAGTCTCTATTTTCATGCTACTAGTACTTATTTTTTAGATACTAGTATCTATTCCATTAAGTACTAGTACTTATTCATTAGCGACTAGTGCTTATTCTGTTTAGAATATTCAAAGTGCTTATTCAATTTTTTTGCTTATTTATATTTTCAGAGCAGAAAATCCGATTTTTCTGCTTATTCAATATTGCATCTAAAAATGTAAGTGACTTGACGTGTGTGTGTGTGTGTGTGAGAGAGAGAGATGTGTCTGTTACAGTGACAAGAGTTTAACCCTTTAAGGCCTTGTCTTTTTGGATATATATTTTTTTTATTTAAAAAAATGTGCATACAACCCATATATTTTAAATGTATCGTTTGCTTTAAATTAAATTAAGATTGTATGTTTGGTAATTGAACCTAAATAAATTTTAAATTAATGTGCTATATTTCAGATCAATATATTTGTTTTCCTTCATTTTAATCAACACTAACTTTTAGGGCTGCAACAACGAATCGATTAAATCGATTAAAATCGATTTTTGAAAGAGTTGGCAACGAATTACATAATCGATTCGTTGCATCGCGCGACACGGAAATGTTTGAGTATAAAAAAAAAATTGGAGTTGAGCGCGGAGCACTGTCGCTCAATCGCGGAGCGAGCGCGAGAGAGACCGAGTGTGTCCGAGATCGCGCGCACGAGAGAGAGAGAGACCGAGTGTGTCCGAGATCGCGCGCACGAGAGAGAGAGAGACCGAGTGTGTCCGAGATCCCGCGCACGAGAGAGAGAGAGAGAGAGAGAGAGAGAGAGAGAGACCGAGTGTGTCCGAGATCGCGCGCACGAGAGAGAGAGACCGAGTGTGTCCGAGATCGCGCGCACGAGAGAGAGAGACCGAGTGTGTCCGAGCATTGGTAATTTGGTACATACTACAGTAATATATAATTAGGCCTACTATATAAGATATAAATAAAAATAACAATTACATTCTTACCACTGAATTAGCTGACTGTGATTTGAATCAGATAGACAGACGATGAAAACAGTTTCTTTTCTGTCCAAATAGCCTACCACTACAAGGGCAGGGGAATATTTTTTCCACAATTTGCAGCACTGATTTTTTCGATCTTTACTCTAATGACTCAGAGAAACACTATACGTATCTAAACAAAATACCTTACACACCATAGGAGATGGTCAATCCATTGTATTTGTTTTTAAAATATTATTTAATATTGTATTTATATTTTATATACATTGTATTTATAATTAATATTAGGATAGACTACAGATATTATCTTCTCTTATAATTATTATTATTGCTATTATTATTACCTATTATAGGTAATATGATAATAGGTGCATTTGCTTGTTAAAAAATGTCAAACATTTTGTTAAAGATTATAACATCTTTGACTAAAACAAAACACAAGTTTGTGAGTGTGTGCATCTGTGAGTGTGAGAGTTTGTGAGTGTGTGCTAGTGTGGTGTAGAGAACAAGTTCTGACGTTCAAACAAATCCTGTTAAGTTTTCTGATTGGTATTTTTCTTTATTTTTTATCAATTATTTATTGTTCTGACAGCAGCTCACTTAATTTTTAAAAAGCATATATTATTTGGCAGATGTAAAGCATACATGTGTATGTTTTTGGTTAGTCTATTTTTTTGCACTGGACTTTTTTTCACGGTGAATTTGCACTGTCAGTTCTGTTTTTTAATAAAGGATTGGAAATTAATGCTTTTTTTTATTATCCGATTCATCGATTAATCGTAAAAATAATCGACAGATTAATCGATTATTAAAATAATCGTTAGTTGCAGCCCTACTAACTTTATTCTCATCTGAATTATAAAGAATTTATTTCTGTATAAAATAAAAAATCCCGAATAATCCAGACCAACCAGAGCGCACTATTTCTACAACATCATCAGTGCTGAAGCGAAACTACCAGAGCCGTTCGGCAGATAGCAAGCAGATATTTTGTGTCACGTCGTGCACAATAACCCTAAAGGCACCAGGGTGGCGGTGCCACCGGCTTTATATATATATATATATATATATATATATATATAAATATAGCTGCGAGCAGCGATGAAGGGCCCAAGCCGGCGGCACCGCCACCCTGGTGCCTTTAGGTAACTAAAGGCACCGGGGTTGCGGTGCCACCGGCTTGGGCCCGTAATCGCTGCTCGCAGCTATATTTATATTTTTCTCTTTTATTTTTCTTACGACTATTCGGGCACTTTTGGGGCTCTTAACGTGCACGAAAACTCTTGAAACTTTGCACGCGGGTCAGAACCCGCGGCCATCAGGGTCGGGGTGAAGATGGTACCCGGGCGTGGCAGGGGGGCTCGACAGCGCCCCCTGGAACGGGGTCCGAAAACTTGGTCCATAAATCAAACACGCTTGTATGTAAGAATATGAAACTCGGTACACATATAGATCTCATCGGTTCATATATACTTCATGCTCTTACTTTTTACCCCAGCCCAACAGGAAGTCGGCTATTTAGGGTTGTTTGTAAAACGCATGCAATGGAATTTAAAGTACTTCTCCTAGAGAATTCAAAGAAATGCCTCGAAACTCGGTCAGCATGAAGTCAAGACATTGAGGATGAAAAATTGCGAGGGGATTTTTGATATCTCGAACGGTTTGGCCGTGGCGGGGAAACGAAATTATGGCGAGAAACGTGAAACAGGAAGTGTGTTATAACTTCTGCATACATTAACTGATCTTGATGAAACTTCAGCAGTGTGTTCGCTGTAAGAGGCCGATCACATGGATGTGACTATTGTGAGTCAAAGTTATAGCGCCACCAACTGGCAGCAGGAAGTGTGTCACTTTCA